AAGTAGATAGACATTTATAAAGAAAAAGACATAAAGTAACATGAAATGTGTTATTGAATGAATTTGTTTCTTTGGAAAAGAAATGATATATTATTGAAATAGATTTGTACATATTCTCAAATAACTGATCTTATTTTTGAAAATTTTCATTAATTCTTTTCTATATTCTATTTCAATAGGTCTTATTATAAATGAGAACATAAATTAATTTGGAATATATAAGAAAATAGTTTTTAGATTTCGTATGCTGTTAGAATTTATATGAAGAAGATTTAAACAATTAATATTGCTATTATGTATTGTCAATAATTTAGAGTTTTGATCGATCATCATATGACAGTATAATGTACATATAACATGTGTATTGCTTTAAGTATAGATCAATATAGGATCTAGTTATGCACCTCACACTTATGTTTTGTTCATCAATGTAAGCATAGTTTACATTGACATCAGATTTTAATTGAAATACTTTGTAAATGAAGTTTTACTTAATAAAGCACCAGACTTCCATAAGTAGCTAGGAAGTGAGAACTTTAATTGATGTTGAATTTTCTTTCGAGATGATTATTGTCAATGAAAACGAGAATTAATTTTATTATATTTTATTTATGATAAGATATAGAAAATGTCTATCAAAAATGAAATTTACCACCATAAATACAATTGTTTTTGAACATATTCAATTGAATAATTATCTAGAAGATTTTTAAAATCGATTGTATTCTTCAATATTTTTTGTACTATTGAATGTGCATTCTGAAGATATAATGAGCATAAATGACGCATATTCATCAATAATGATTCTATAGTAGTTACAGCACAATCACCTGTAATATATAACGTGATATGTTTGAGTCGAGGCAACAAAACAATAAATAGTTGAATTTGTTCCCATGACTGATTATTCGAAATAATCAAACTTGTAATCTTGTTAATATTGGATACTAATTGAAAATATTCATTTTGTTTTATTTTGTTTACATTTTTCTTGAGAAAAGGTAGAGAACGAAGTTTTAATGTTCGAATATTGGATGCAAAACGTAACAGCTCAACCAGTTCATCAAAGCAAATTTCGTCGCAATTTATAGTTAGATTAGTTAATTTTCTTGAAATGATCAAACAGTTGAGGACAGTTGTAATTGTAAAATTAATTCTACATGATAGAGTGAGTTCAGTGGCATGTGGAAATTGAATTAAACAGGTGTCCATCGAGTTTCTATCACGAATTTCAACGTGATTAACTAAATTATAAATATCTTCTTCACAATATGAACAATTGGCCTTCTTTGATAATGTTCTTATAATATAACGTTTCCGTCTGAAAGGAAAAAAAAACAAAAACTTTACCTAGTAGTTCATATAAAGAAATAGATATTTCGATACCTGTAAGAATTGATCGAATAGAAGATCATAGCTTCCATAATTCTTTGAGTATAATGTTGATGTGCAAAGAACCATCGTCGTTCGAACCAAAATGAAGAATTAAATTGATTGATGAGTTGATGAAGTTTAGAGTCATAGTAATACAAATTGCTTGTCCATTCCTTATACTCAAAATCAAATATACGCAAACAAGGCATAGAAGTTAAAATCAATGTTTGCCATGTTTTAGCATTTAAATATCTCCTATCATTTATCGTAGATATACGTAATAATTGAATTTGATAAAAACATTGTACAAGTAAGGATTTAAATAGATCAAAATCTATAGATTTAAATCGGAGCGAAACATGTGTTAAATTAGTTGGTAATGTTAGCTCGTTTGATTGTACTTTAATATGTCCATCTATAGAATGGCAGTATAAATAACGAAGTTTAGGAACATAGGTTAATATAGTATTAAATTCATAAAAGTCGAGAGAATTGTTGATAACCAAATGTTCGATAGTGCTCTTTTCATTGACAGAAGGTAAAAGTGTTTTACATTGAGAATTTTGTTCACAGAATAATTTGCAATATTTTAATAATGGTAAGGAAAAAATTAGACGATAAAAAATAGTTGTATCTGGCATATATCCATCAAGAACAATGCTTAAGGAAGAGAGACGTGGTAATACAACTAAATGTTTTAGAATATTTTCAACACTTTCTGATTTAAGATTCTTAAGAATAAGTGTTTCAAGTTGATGAAATTTTGAAAGGATATGAGGTTTAAATATAAGACTGACGATGAATGGATTCGATAAACAAATTAAATGAAATCGATGTTTATTTCGTTTGATAATATCATTATAGTATCGTTAAAAGGTCGATTTCGACATAAGTGACATATCGATTTTGATAGGAAGAGTTGAATGAATAAGAAGATTTTCAAATCGTGAATTAAGATTTGAAAAAGCTTCGTATAGATCATAACCATTAAGAAATTCGAAGATTTCATAAATAAGATCGTTTGAAATATCTTCAAAATTAGTCAATGTTGATCTATATAAACAACAATACAGAAACAAGTCAAAACAGACACAAAAAATAATGTATATAAATCACTAACCTCTTCTCATGATCTGTCGTTTCTATAAGAAAAACACATGATAATAGAATGTCATAAGAACAAAAATTACCTTGAAATATCTTTCTTTTAACATCAAAACAATCAATATCATTCTGTTGCTGATTCATTTGATTAAACATATGAATAAAGTATTATCCTGTTGACTATTTCTTTTTTCTTATAGTAACGACAGATCATGAGAAGAGGTTAGTGATTTATATACATTATTTTTTG